TTTACCTTGAGGTGTGGTGTCATTTTTAAAATATCCATTGATGTTTTTGTTTTTCTCTTATTAATAAAACATTTGTTGATTAGATTATTTAAAAATAACTTGAATTATCTGAATGGCTTACGTCTAGGATAAAATGTATCGTTTTCTGTTTTATGCTATGCGATGCTATCTTAATTCAAACAAGAATTTTAAATATAATAAATTGTGGTTAAGTAGAACAGTTTTAATGAGATATTTTATTACCACCTTTTTACTCAAACAAATCAGCAAGCAGTAAATCTATCTTCATACTTTTACAAACACATAAACTAATATTTATTCATTCATTTAGAATTGTGATATCTAGTATCATCCATAACAATGTTTAATATTTCAAGTGGCAAAAGTATTATTTTTCCATTATTGCTATAAACAAAATTTTGGTGAAGTATTTATGAATTGATAAAATAAGGCTCCTACCAGCTTCTTTGACAGCCTCTATTAATTAAGCTATTCTTATAATATAGAACTTTGTAGGATGATCTGTTTCTAAGAAGAATGAATATTTACGACAGGAAATTTATATATGCACATTATATTTGCTTAACATTCCAACCTAAAAAAAATATTAAAAATTATTTTTTGTTCATGTATTAAAATTTTTATAATTAGCGTAAATAATCACTGTCCGTGAAGATTCAGTTTGTAATTGAAAAAGTTTTTTAACTTAATTTTATGCTGTTAATAATGAATGAACATTAAATCAAAATGATTACTTTAAAAAAGTTATAGTGATAAATTACTTTGAATATCACATTTCTAAGTTTCTTATATTTGTTTTATATAAGATTGATTAATCTATTGAATAAGCGTTGGATCTTATACTTATGGTAACAATAATAAAATAAGTTTCCCATTGAAAGTTATTAGTTAGAAGTCTATTTCTTAAAAACTAGTTTCATCAGATAAAAATAGATATTTGCCTAATTTTCCTGATTATAGTTTAATTTATAACATTTCATTTGTTAAATTATTTTGACAGTTTAAAATTAACATCACTTTCAGTGAGATTTATCATTTATTTTGCAATGTAATTCCTTGACTGAATTATGTTCTTAAATCTTAAGCGAATATTTTGCACACTATTGTAAAAACCTTATACATATATTAGGACTGAGTGAAATCTTTTTAATTTAAAATTTTTTTTTGACATTCTATGGAATTTAATTTTAATCTTATCAAATTTTCATCTTAGTGATTGGAAATTAAATTTTCAATTAAGTGGAGGCATAAATTGATTGTAAATACCAGTGATGTAAAAAAAAAAAGAATCAGAAACTAGGGAGTTGATTTTTTTTTTTTTAATCTTATTCATGCACCCTCTATATTTTTTGACAATGGATGTTAAAAAAAATGATACCACACCTCAAGGTAAATTTTCAGTCAATGTCTAAAGAGAAACAGAATTTAAAAAAATCAGAATATGTTTGGATTAAATATATTGCATATTAAATTATTATAACCCAATAACATTGATTGATCCATAATTATAATGAATTAAAATGTTAATTTAATCAATTATTTTTGTTTAATTTTAATCAATGGTAAGTTTGTTGATTAATCTGTGCTAAATGAACATGCCAAATATTGAATGGGTTAAATATATGCTCAAAACAACATAAACCAAGTCAAATAATAAAAATGATAACTTCAAATGTAACAGGAGTAAACTTAATCAAATAAAAGGGAAATAAAACTTTAAAGAAAGGAATAATGGTACATAAATAAACCATTATTTTATTTTTTTATATTTTATCAATTTAGATAGAATAATGATACATATTATTTTTGTTTCATTTTTTTTTTACAACTATAAATTATTTAAAAAAAGACGTCAAATAAATTACTTTAATTACATAGGAAAATTAATATTGTATTTTGTTTGGTATGTTTTTTCTTTTTCTTTATTCTTACACAGAAGATAAAAAAAAGTTATATCTAGTTATGAATTTAAAAAATATATATAATTATCCACAATAAAAAAAAAATAATTCAGTTTGGGGCTGAAACTCAAAATAAATTTTTTTTTTTTCATTGGTCCATATTTGTTTCTATGAGTGATCTAAGCAAAATACTTAGATAATTACAGTATGCTCTCTTTTTAAATTAAATGCTTACATAGCTAATAAAATTTAAGTTCTTGTAAAAAAAAAAAATATATATATATTTTTATATATTATATTATATATTAGTGTTTCTGTGAATAGCTTATTTTATATATTTTTTTTCTTCTAGCCTAATAACTGTTACAAAAAAAAAAGAAAAAAAAAAAAAATTAAACCTCTTCCAAAATTAAAGTCTTGATCTGTTACTACTTTCTGCTAAGAGTATAACCATTAATATTTTTTTTTCTTTTTTCCACTAAATGAAATTAGTGGGATGAATTATATTAAATTCATGTTTCTAGTCTTATGTAAATAATGAATTCTCTCTCAGTTATTGAAATTTATTATAATAACAACTCTTACAAGAATGATTGTAAATAATAAATCATTTTAGTTTTAATGGAATAAAAAAAAAGTTTATACCTGCTTGCAATAAATAATTAATTTTTAAAACCTAATTTTCACGTCAATATTTTTTTCATAACAAAGTAGTTTACAATTACATGAAGAGAAATGAACAAAAGATTCAGGTGTTTTGTTTGAAATGGTTATTTAAAATTTCCTAATACCCTTAGCTTTTTTTAATCATTATTTTATCTTTTTTATTTATTTATATTTTTTAAAATGAATTTCTAAAATGTGTAATGGAATATTTTTGTTTATTGTCTAAATGTATGTTTTAATTGTTTTAGATTAAATCTGTTGAATATTTTAGTATGTATTTATTTATATTATTTTGTATTTTTAAATTCCCAATATTCCACAGTTTTGTTAATCTGAACAGACTCGTGCAATAATGAGCCCAGATTAGTGAAATGAGATATATTAAACAATTTATGTTAAAAACACCATTTCTAGCTGATAGTCTTGTTAAATTATTTGTTTTTATGCTAAAGATTATATTTATGATTTATTTTATTGTCATCGGTCGGTCTTATTCTGTGATATAAAGATTATATTTTTATTTGAAATATTAATATAAACTTAAGGGATTCAAAGATATTTCTGTTTTATTATTTTCAGTGTTGATAAATCATCTTTATCTATATATGTACTGTAATATAAAACTCTAAAAGTTTGTTGGTTTGAATGCAGTACTATCAGGTTTTACTATTCTATTTTGAAAATTTCATTTTATATTAGATCATAACTCTGCAAACTAAGGCTCATGGGCTGAAAAGTCTCTTTGATTTCTTGGTAAAATTTGAAAAAAAAAACACTCTAAAAATACGAAATTCATTAAATCACTCCAATATGAGGTTACTACAATATTTAAAGCATGAGTTATTAGATGATGAATAAACTCTTAAACAGCTTATTTCACAACTGCAGTGTCATAAAACATGTTTTTTTTCCATCAAAAGGAATGGTCTGCGGAAATTAGTGGAGGTCTCAACAAAGTCTGCAGAAATACTGGATATTGACTTAACTGACTTAATGGCAGATAAATTATTTATTTTGTTTCGTTGGCCATCAGATCGGGAGACTCCTCCCTGGACATCCAGCCTCTCTATAAAGTGTGTATCTTTAATTAATTAATTAATTAAGGGAAAAAACCTGGCGGTTGAGTGTAATCTTGGTCATATTAGCTCCTTGCACGACCATTGACATAAAAACACTACTTTCTTACTAAGTACTGAACCTAAGACTTTTTATGGATGTTTAGTGGTTGTTACAGGTTTACTGACTTAGGTTTTAGGCTTTATAAAATCTTATTATGACCCATAGGTATGGATTAGTAACAATAAACATCATTTAACCTGGAAAATTAATTCTATATTCTTGCCCATGTAACCAAATTGACTAAACAAAATTTTTAGTAACTTATTTTTATACAATGCATTTATTATGCTTTTCTGTTGATAAAGTAATGAATTAAGAATCTAATTTTCTTCTACATTCCCTTAAATTTAAACTTGGTATCTAATGATTTATTTGTTTAACGGAGCCGTATTCAAGGTACGTTATTTTTAAGATATTGTTTTAGTTTCTCTATATTTGATAAATCACCTGTTGGCTCAACAGTACTGATAATTCTTATTACAATGATTCCATCTGATTTGCCATTTTGTTTAATATTACAATGCACTGTTAAGGCATCATTTGCAATCACTGTATACAAACTTATAAGTGTATTTGGAGTCTATTTGAGAGAAGACTTGTTTCTCTTGAACAACTGTCTATATTAGTTTAACGACATACTTAAATACGTTATATATGCAATTATATATATATTTTTTTAGATATTTTCAAGTATATATAATAAGTAAAACAAAAAAATGGAAATCCTTACAACTATACATATAAATAAATTAATTTTAAATATAATATTGGTTTGTTTCTCTGTAATTATGTTGTTTAAGAACAACTGTCTTTATAAGTTTAAGGACATACTTAATCTAATAGAATCCTATGAATTAAATTTTAATTTAAGTAGCTTAAACTGTGATGATGTTTAACTATGAAGAACTAATTTTTCTTTACTAAGAATTCAAATTCAGAAAGATTATATCTATATAATCAATGTACAATTTTTTTTTTTTTTTTTAAGTTATTTATTGAGTATTACAACAATCTGTCACATGGACACTAGTTATAGTGAGGTATGATAACATTTACACTATATGTACAAAAAATATAAAATAAATAGAAGCAAAATAACAATAAATAATAATAAAAAAGTATATATAATAAATAAAATAAAATAATCTAAAAATAAGAAAATTAAAACTAAGCAAAAAACACATGCATACCTATATACAATGTGCAATTAAAGTTCAGAATTCTAAAACTTTCCCTTTTTATCCTCATTTAATTTCAGTAAATTATATTAATGTCAAAAGCTCATTGGAGGTGATCAGATGGGTGATGTTTTGAACTTAAGCTATAAATACTTCATATGAAAAAATAATATTTGTATCATCTGAAAGAGAAACAAAATAAAAGATCTCTTATCACTTTCTGGCTGCCTGTCCAAAACTGTTGAAATCCAGATATTTGTCTCAGGATCAAGTAATAGAATTAATAAATAGAAAAGATTGGATAGCATTGGTAAATTACTGCAGATTTGTTTCCTATAGAATAATGCTCACCAGAGAATTTAACTATTAATATATTAAAGAATTTTGGTACCACAATTTTGGTTTGTAAAATCATCATATAACTTATCATATATGTTATTTATTATTTATGTAAATAGATTGAAAATAATTTTGTTATGTAACACCGACTCCTCGGACAGTTAGCAGACCATGTAGTGTGTCTGATTTTCGGTTTAAATGCTAAAATATTATTATTTTCTTAAAATTAATATTTTGTAATTTTGATAAATAAAAAGACTTATCTTCTTATTCTATATTATGTTGAAAAAACAAAACAAAAAAAAAACAGTATGTATTTAAAGTTCAGGAAGAACTTAAAACATTCTTTGCAGTAAAATACTATAAGTTTTCTTTAAATAATTTAGTTGGTGATTCATTATTATTTCATAAATTGAATGGTCTAGGCCTGATCTGTGACAATATCAGGGAGAGTTTTCATAGACATTGTCATTATTATTATTAGTTGTGAACATATTGGGAGAGATGAGGACACTCGTGAGAGACCGGGGAATGCCTGGTTACGATGGCTGGATATAACTATGCTGAGAGGTATAAGGAGGAAGGAAAAACAGAAGAAGTGAACATAGTGCTGGTACAAGAGTTTGTCAGTTAAGTTTTAGTGATTGAGTATTCTTAAAGGAAGGAAGGCTCAATAGAATTTTCAGATAATCAACGGATGAGGGTTGTTGATAACCTAAACAAACGGAAGAAAATAATCCAGGAGGACACTATTGAGGATTTGAACGGACGATGGGTAGTGACCTTGAAAGGAACCTTCAGAAATAATACTTCTCCACTCTCCACTGTGCAATTTTGGATAAACATTAAATAAGTCCTCCTGGACCAATGGGTTTCACAAATTCTCATGGGGAAGCTTTCAAGGCAAGCTACAAAGTCTTATCTATTAAGATTTTGGCCATGACTTCATTGCATTTAATGGATTAACATCCATTTTGATGAGAACTATGAGAATTTATGTCCTCAGTGTTCGGGTGAGGAGAATTTCCCATGGTTTATGGAATTCATTAATGGCTGGAAGGTGGCAGTGGGTTGAGACCACTTCAACATTGGAGCCTTTAGAACAGAACCAGTTAGAAACATAACCAGAAGACATGATATGTTATGCAATTATGTGTAACATGCCATTACTATGCATATATATATTTTCTGATAGGCAACAAGGGAGATAACTAAACCACATAGATAACTAAATCTAGTGTAGTTCAGTTCAGTTCACGCCATGGCTTGTGATGAAAAAAAAATATCTTGTTCTATAAATAACACTTCAGTTGTAAAATGAGTTTTCTAAGAGAAAAAGAAAAAAAAAAACATGGAGTAAATTTGCTAAATTTCACATTTTTTAAATTGTTTTTAAAATTTTAATATGTAATCAAAGAAACTTTCACTGGCTGGATCAGAGTTTCTTGTGGGCCATAGTTTGGATACTCCTGATATATACCATCATTCATGTTTTTTTTTTTGGTTTATGTTCAAATTTATTAATAATAATATTTATGATAAACTCAGTTTTGAATTTAAAATATTTGTTTCAGGCAAAAATGAGGCTTTAAGGCCACGAGTTGGTCCTGGTTACGTTCCATCAATGAGGAGAACGGCTTCATTGGACACAATCTATCTCACGGGTCAATGGCCAAGGGAATCGTTGTATTTGAGCAATCTTCAAGTCGATCGTTCCACTCAGGTAACTTAAAAATATGTCGTGAATGTTAAACTTCATATTTATGAACAATAAAGAAGATTGTAGGATGGTCGTGAAGATTGAAAAAAAAAAGAAATAAAAAACTGCTTAATGAATACAGATACTTCGGCCTATGTTTTTGCCCTTCTTCAGAGTTACAAAGTATTAGATACAATATCATAAAAAATTTAAAGTGATATATGGTAAAATAAAAAGTCTGGCCATCTTTCCGGTCGCTTAGTAAGAAATTATTATGTCTGGAGCAAAATGTTGGATGAGACTCCTTCACTTCAGTAAGAAGGGATAGAGCTATAAGTTTTGTATTAGTCAATCAAAAATACTATGGCAACAAATCTGATGATTATGAATTTAATCTTGGTTCCATCATTCCTAAACATCAATAAATTTAAATTTAGAACCACTTAACTGTTTGGTTAACTGAATCCATTGTCCTAGAGAGCTATATGAGAATTTAAAAAAAGTTGGTTTCCTAATTTATTTTGTAGATCATGTAGAAGGTTACGATGTGACTCTAGCCTTGATGGAGTATAACGTGAATTAATCACTACTATCTAAGCCTGAAGTTGAATTAGAAAATTATTTCATACAACTAATTAAGGAATCATAGTTGGAAAATAGTTTTAGATATATTTTTAAATAATAGTTTCATTTTATTCAGTTTTAGTCATATTTTTATTTGCTAAAATTTTGAATTTTAGTTGTTACTTTTAAAATTGATTCAATGAACTATTCTTCTAGATGTTTCTATCGTCAATTATAAATTTTCAGTTTCAAAAAGCCTATTTTGATATTTTTATTTCTATTCCAGCTTTTTGATTTTTTAAAGATTTGTTATACTGTACTCATTACACTATATGTCTTATACTATGCTTATATATATTATTAAAATTCATAGTATTTTATTTGATATCCAATATTGTGAATTACACTATTTAAAATGTTACATATTGTATCTATTATGTGAAATAATTTTTTAATAAAGATCATTTTATAAAAATTTAATTCAAGTGCCAAGGATTTTTCTTTAACCTTACTTATATCCATCGACAGGAAACTATTAACTAATGCATAAAACTGAAGCTAAATTAAACAAAACATTAGGAAGAAAATTAATCTTCAGACCCTTTTGTAAACATAACATTATTCCTTCTAATTTTGAATATTTTATTAAAATATCATATAAAATAATTAATTATCATAGTCATTTAAAAATTACCTAGAAAAGTCAAAGAATTCCATAAAAAGGTTTCGGTTGACTCCTTGCAGTCAGTAATTTAAAATTGACATTATGATTAAGTCATTTTTATAATTTTTCATCTTTGTATAAGTTCACGATTATAAATAAATTATCATTATTAATTGTGGATTGATGGTTGACTGTAGTGAATAATTGAAGAGAAGAATAGTTGGAGTGATCAGAAAAAAAAAACTAAAAATAAATAAGTATATTTATTATTTGTTTTTGCCGATGTGTTGGCCCAAAGTTCAGGGCTTGTCAAATGAGAGAGAGTCTTGCGTCTTGCGGAAACCTCTCGTTTCCGAAACAAAATATACTTATTTATTTTTACTTTTTTTTTTTTATTGATCACTAATAATTTTTCTCTTCAATCTATCATTATTAATAATTATTACAAGTAATATATATATATTATCACTGTAATGTTTTAATGATGGGATGAGGGTTCCTTAGTTATGTCTTTTCTTTATTATTTGACCTGGTCATGATCACGGTCAGTCGTGTTTGGCAAACAGCCAACCACTTTAGGAATTTGTAGGTTGCTAGCTAATAATAGCAATTTGGTTTTATTTATCTAATCAAGGGTTAAGATAAAACAAAAAATAAATATAATATAATAAATACCGGAGTTATTTCATGTTTGGTGCATTTGTGAAAGATCAATTCAAGTCCAAAGGATAAGTTGCTGTGTAAGAAGTATTATAAATATAATCTCTATAATATAAAAAAAAAAAATTTATTTAGTGTCTGTCATATTTTATTTTTGTAACAGGAAATTAGGAGATTACAGGAGCTCAACTTTTCAGCCTAGTCCTCTAGGCTCGATAGTGCTGCTGCCCTATGGCGTTTATTTTACAAATAATACAACTGTTCATTTAATTATATATGTGTTGAGCTCTTGTAACCTCCTACTCTCCTAATACAAAATAAAGATTTTGAGACCAAAAATTTGTACAGAAAATAGTATTTACCTGAAGGTGGTAGTTTGATTTTACCTAGGTGACAGCAGCTTGTTTTGTATCTTGACATTTCACTCTGAATACAATATATTTATTTATCTATTAGTTTTACATATTCCTGGCTCACAATAAATTTTCCATCTACCTCAGTATATGGCAGAAAATAATTTGTAAATTATTTTATAAATTATTTCTTGAATATAAATTTAAAAAAAAAAAAATTATAAATTGCACGTTTAGATTGGTTTGGTATTTTAATGAAATCAATACTTATCTTGATTACCAGAAAAATTTATCAGGGTTCATTTTGGAAATAAGGTACTCATATTCATTTATAGGTATGTATTTTGATGAAGGCACGGAGGTTAAGATGGGCAACCCAGATGGATTGCTACGAGCTACCCCATGTTGCTCATAGCTATCCATCTGGAAGCCTCTACATAACAATGAATGCCTCAAAAAGAAGGCAAAAGACCATGCGGATGGCCAAAAAGCTTTTTTGGAAGAAAGAAATAGCCCAAGACAGGCAGAGATGGAGCAGGCTTGTTATGGTGGCATAAAGGTCTACATGGTCTGTAATGCCAATTGAAATAAATAAATAATTAATGTAAGCAACTGATAAATGTTTTATTTATGAATTTTGTGATAGTTAAGTTTTATTTTTGTATCTTTTATATAACATTTGTTTATTGCATAAAGTCTCTAAGTAGCATTTCATAACCTTAAATCACTTAATATTTTGATCAATTTTTTCTCTATTTAATCAAAATATTGTGCACTCAGCGTAACTATTTTTGATAAGGTTTATATCAGTATGATGTACTTACTGTATTCTTGTAACAAAAAATAATTTTGAAAAAACCTAATTAAAAGTTCAGCTCTATCAAAAATGTACCTAATGATTTATTGCAATTAAGCGATGTTTTACACATAAATGAATGTATAAATATATTACATTAAATTTTATTATTTGTCGATTCTATAACTAAAATAATTAGCCAAGATGTATTTCATTTAACATATTTGAATTTGGTAGAATTTATAATGATTTCTTAAAGTTGTTTAGTTTAAATTTGTTTTTATTTTGTGTGCTCGTTTGTTTATGAGACATTAATACATTTTTGGCAAGCTGATGGTAAACTCAGGCGTAGTAAAAGTGATGCTATTCCTGGCAGGGGTGTGTGTGTGTGAGATGGTTGTTTTTATTAGATCCAGGGTCGTCTCTACACATCGCCTCTTAACCTTCATAACTAGTGAAAATAGAAGAATTATAATGACATCAGTAGTTATATTTGAATTTCTTTTTTTTTTTTTTTTTTTTTTTTTTTTATCTTCTGCCTCTTGGTTTAATTTTCAATTTTACATAGGCCAAATGGATTATTAATTCTTTAAAAATAAATCTGAATGAATAATAGGCATTATATAATATATAATTAATAACTAATGTTAATATAGAACATAAATTAAAAGTAACTAACTTTAAATTGATTATATGATTATAAAAATTAAATTTATTTCACAGTATTGAACAAAAGGTCTCACAAACATGAATATTTTGAGATTAGCTTTTTAAAGTTTTTAGATTGAATAAAACAAAATGAAAAAAAAAATTATATGATTAAATTTATGTATAACTTTTAAACACATTTGTTCTTTTTTAAATTTTAACTGTAATTATTGTATATTTTCTATTTGAGAATTTATTTACTATATTACATGAAATTTAAGACAGTGTTTTAAAAAAAATAAATAAATTTTTAAAACAATATATCCGAAATTCGATTTAGACAATACAGCAACAAGTATTTTTAGTAATAACAATATTGTATCAACTATCATAATAAATATAAATTTAATTACAAAAGTATATTAAATACAAAAACAAAATTTATAAATAAGTACCTACTGTCGCTCTGGAAAAGAAAAAGAAAATGGTCACTTATTTTTTATTGTTCGAAGATTTATTTATTCTCATTTTTTCAAATTTGTTAAATAGAAATTTAACTATTTTAGAAAATTAACATTTAACATAGAAATTTAACATTTAGAAAATTAACTATTTACAATGTTCCTGAATTACAATATTTCATCATTATTTGATTTATCTAATTTGTTACTGTACCAAGGAAAAAACATGTGTTTCTTAAATATAATGTAATGTTTTTCTCTTGAGAAAGTTGATAAAAAATTCAGAATGAAAAAAAATCTAAGAATCTGTTGTAATGTGTTTGTTGTTTTGAATTGAAATAATGTTTTAATTTATAACAAATATCCTGAAGAATATACTTTACATTTACATGATTTTTTGTTGTAACTTTTTCATTATTAGTATGAAAAATGGAATACATTGTTTAATTGTTACAGACTGAAGACTGGTATGGAGATCCTCGTAAGGTTCTTAGGCATCAGGATTCTGGAAACGAGGATAAGTTAGAGAAACTTATTCGGCACAGGTAAAACATATAACACTTATTTATACTTATATTTATGTTCTGTTATATCAGTGGGTTGTGCAACGTGTAACATGTCTAGTATGTGTAAAGTTTGAAACTGACATTTTATTGGGTTGAGTAACAAAGTTTGTATTTTGCTGTATTATACCAGGTTTAGATGTAAAATATAAAAGATAAAAGGTGCGTGGAAATTATTCATTCTGAGGACATAAATATTTTAAAACTTCCTGCACTATAAAGCTTATCTACTTTTGGTAGTGAAGAAGCAAAAATAAATAAAATAAAATTCAAGAGATGACAATACTATTGCTGAAGATGTGAGAATTTTAAAATATAAAATAGGAAATATTCATATCAAATTAGGATCATAGAATATCATTTGGAATATACTGAAATAATAATAATAGTACTGGGACTCTTTAAAATAATATACAGAGATAGAAATGTAGGCTTTGGAACCTCAGAGAATAATCATAAAAAACAAATAGACATAATAAATTTTAAAAAGTAAAGTTATCTTCTAAAGAGAAATATTTACAATTTTATAAGAGGTGATTGAACAGGCGGGATTTAAAGATCAGGATGGTATTATGTCTTTCTGTATTATTCTAAAGGAACTCGTCCCAGAATAAATAAAGTATTATTATTATTATTATTAGAGCTACGGATGTAGGGAGGGATAGAATTCCATAGGAATGAGGATCGGATAATGAAAGAAAGCAGCGGTTCGGTGATCCCTTATATACAAATCTGAGGGCTGGGAACGGGTTTTGCTGGAGTAAACAGAGGATTTGAATTGAAGGAGCTCAGCAATAGCCGATGTGGAGAAATATTAAGGAAGTGATCAGGAGTTTACAGATTTCAAATGGAAATAGGCGGCAGAGGTAATTTAGACATTTTAAAGTGGAAAAGGCACTATGGGAGATATTGGATTCATAGTCTTTCCAGGAAATCAAAAGTTATTTCAAAATAGTGCTTTAAATATCTTGAATCATAAAATTACAAACTTTATTCTGTTGGTTAAAAAATGGCAAAGGAATGAAGAGACATTTGGGGAAATTGATGGAGAAACAGAACAGTGAGTGTGGAAGGGACACCATGTTAGAATGGCAGTGAGGAATATTTCAGTGCCATTACTATACAACACAGACTACAATTAATATTTTCCTAATCTGCCATCATCGGGCCTGAAAAGGATCCGATGATATAAACGAGAAATGGTATTCTTTATATCAACGGTTTGTCGATCTCTTACATAATGTCACTAAGTACATTTTTGAATTAGGTTAACTTTTAAGTACGTTTTTGTGAATTTCAACCTTATTTATGGATACAAGTGCAAGAAAATGGCATAACCTTCTATATATCGTATATAGTTACATTAATCACACTATGTTTTGATTTCACCGGTGGAAAATTCATCCACAATGATTTAATTTTATGGAATGTTACTTAATGACTTTTTGCAATAAACCCATGAATTGAAAAAATATAACATTGCCATCCAAAAGAGTTTAGCATATACTTAAGGATAAGAGGAGTAACATTAACACAGATGTTAAACAAGTATTTCAGAGATTTAGGGCTTGGTTTTAGAATCTTTCGATGTTATTTTTCTTTAAATTTTATAATTTTTTTTCTATTAAATGTCTATTTCTGTTCTATTCTAAATAAAAAATCTGATTCTAATTGTCTTTAATTAAGATATTTACTTAACTAATTACTCGTGTGATCTAGAATGCAGAGAACAAAGGAAGGCTCCAGTCGGGAGAGAACTGCAGCTTTCTCCTTACTCGGCGGTGGAGATACTCACATCTCACACCGACACCGCATGAGAAGCTCTATTGAAGGGCTCAATCAAGAAATTGAAAGGCTAGTGCTTCGATCTACACCGAGTTTTGGCGGTCTTGAGAGGGAAGAGAGGAAGGTATAACTTTTTTAAATCTTTCTATCCCGAAACCAAAATAAAGTTAAATTCTCATCAGCATAGTCACAGTTGTTTCGTTGATCTATTATTTTATCTGTATTTATAACTATTGTGAATGTCTATAAATTTTGTTATATAAATATTATAACATTTTCTGGACTGGAATAAATTGTGATAATTTTCTAAGTTTTAAAATTTTCATCAATTTCCTCTGTTATGTGTGAATGAAACAATTAAATCTCTTTTCATCTTTAACAAATATAAGAAGAAAATTTGATTGAATTCTGCTGTTCACACTTTTTCTTATTATCTATTTGTATAAATTACTTTATCTTGAAAATAAAAATCAATTTTTGGAAGAAAATACAAAATTATAATTATTTAAATTTAGTAAATTATCATTGTTACTTAAAAAATAATTAAATTTCAGTAAATATTTTTGTGAATATATTAGGTAGTAAATTTTAAATATTTCTACTTGTTTTAATTTATGCATATTAAATCATGTATTATATAATTTCAATATGATATCTAGTTTGAATTCCGAATTAAATAATATTTTTTTATTTTATTTTATTATGAAATTTTTTATAAATTGTGATCAGGATTGCTTACAAATGGCATGTTTTAATATTAAGACTTATATCTAGATTTGATTCTGGTTTCAAAAATTTTTAATGATAAACTACAGATGGATTTAGAGTATGTTCAATTTGTGTAAACCATGTTAAATGAAATGGCTTGAGATAAGAGTGAATTAATATGAAAGGATAAACTATTATATAAAAAACATATTAAGAGAAATATATGTGTTCCAGAATATTTATTTAATTTTTTTTTTAAACATGCAAAGCCAAGATATACTTGGGTTCGTGTGGATCAAGATAAATGAAACAAATTTCATTGTGTTGTTTTATTTATTTCGCTAGTATAAATTATGGTTCAGTATTTATCAGCAAATTAAATAAAATAATCATCTCATTAATCGTGTGGTATATTGACTTTTTCTAATCATATCATTAGGTATCAATTATTATAAATAGGTTTGATAATCGTAATACTTGACACACAGAGTAGTTGTATCATTAATATTATTCACTTAATTTTTTTTGTTCGATTTCCTCCTTTCTCAACAGAATTTGAATTTTTAAATTTTCTTTTCTTTACAATTTAGTTCTAAAACTGGTGCTCAAAATTAAGACCCTCCTCTTCTTCAGTTGATGATTCAATATGTTATATTTTAATAACTGAAGCCTCTGTAGAAGGCTTATGAATGAATGCTTGTATCAAAAGAGAATTTTTTGATTCATCTTTTTTTTGTATAATATTTTTTTAGGGAGTTGAAAATACTCCAGAGGGTCACAGAGCACCAGTGGCCGATTTGTTAAGAGAAACGAGGTCTGTTAATACGCAGACCCCAGCGTTCACTGCTCCGTCATCAGGTAAACCACTGGCGCTTCGTGCCATAGATACTAAAAATTATTTTGTTTGTTAATATTACTACTCTGTATATTTTTCTTTGTATGGTTGAAGTAAGTGAATTTTTTTTCTTGATATACTTGAGAATTGTTGTGGATTTGATCTGTGAAATGTAGAATCAGATCATTGGATGCTTATTATCTAAAGATTTTCTTTAGAAATATCTTCGCAATGGAGACGTTTTACTGTATCTGCAGTTTTCATATGCATGTTAAATGTATTTTAGTTTAGATTCAGCTGTGTATGTAGACAAAATAATTTGTGTGTATGGTAGAAAAAACAAACATAAGTTGAGTAGTTGAGTATTATTTTTTAGTTTAAAAGTTAATAACGAAAAACATTATTCTTTACATTTAATAAAATTATTTCAATTTTATTAGAAATATTAGCAAATATAAAATTTTTATCATATAAATATCTGTAGGTCTCCACTTTTTAAATACAAATCTTTTAATTTTTTTGTTTTGTTTATTTCAATATTCAACCAGTATTTTTTCGTCATTAAAAATTGATTCAATTTTTTTCCTTTATATTATCACTATCCGAAAAAGAGGAATTTCCGTATCAAAAATTTTATTTGTGAAAACTGGTTCATGCTTCTATTTTTTTGGAAAATGAATCCTAAAGCCTTGTTTGCACAGTGACAGTTTTCTGTCATGGTTTTCATGTGAAGAAAGGTTCATCTTCATGCTGACAGTGAACCTGGAGATAGTTGAAAGAAATTATTGATTTGGAACTGCTGTCTGAATACAACACAACTAATAGAAAATCTGATTTTATGGTTATTTTAACAAAGGAAACTCATTTATTTAAGCACTAAAAGAACTTTGTATTAAATGAAAAAAGAAAACTACTAAGTTATATAGCTTTTTCTCTTTCCTTATCTACTGCTAGAGTAGTTGATGCTTTCAAACAGTTTACACTATGGTATTGGCTGCGACAGTAAACTGTCACCATGTAAAAGGAATAATTATAAAATATATTTTATAATCATATTTGTTTCATAAATATATTTTTAATATTTAGAAACTTCATTTTTTGTAGGTCCTCCTTCGAGGAATTCACCTGGCGGAGGCCCTTTTAGCAACATCTCCGATTCGAGGCCTTCTAGCGAAATGCATGGTACGTTATTAATTATAAGCGTTTTAACATTGATAATGCCAGTTTCCTAAAGTGCTAAATTTGTCTTCTACTTACACTATGGATGATATTTCTCATTGATTTAGTCTTTCATTTAATCATTACCATTTGCAATCATTTTAATAATTTTTATTTGATTAGTTTTATTATCATAATAAATTTTTTTGATGTCCAGACGTGAGTGAAGATTCTTCGCCTGAACAGGAAGGTCGTGGTTTGGGAACATCCCCAAGAATAAATAGGTTCTTGGCACGGGAACCCCCGGATGGGTGCGAAAGAGTTAGTACTAGGTTTACCGAAGACAGGTATGTTTTCTTCTTTATTTTTTTCTTGCCAGAATATTGATGTATTAATATATATGAGCAACGGTTATACTTATTTTTTAATTTAGTTATTTAGATATTGCAAATAGTCATCTTTGTATTAAAGGTGATAAGTGGTTTTAAAAAGTTTTATTTCATATTACCAATGCTGCCTTGTTGATGCTTTCACTTTTATCATGTGGTCTCAAGCACGTGCCGTAGTTTTATTTTTAATTTTTCCTATCCTCTCCATAAGTGACCTAGGTATCAATTAACTAATTAATGAATTGTTATTACAGAAGACCAATGGTTGATATATCAGAGATGGACTATCCGTTGAAGCCGAGTATGAACTTCCAGCTCAAACCTAGCCTCGGTTCTGCTTTCCAACCTCTCAGGTCCACGCAGTAGCCAATAGTAATCTATATTTACTCATTTAACTGGATAAAATGTCGAACTGTTAGATTACAGTTACTTAATTTATGTATGCATAAATATATATAAAAACAAATATATATGTATGTGTATATGTGTATAAATAATTATATATATACATATGCATATAGTGTAAATGTGTTAGACATTTATCAATGGACTGTTTAGTGTTGAGTAGAGAGATTAGAGCCCTTTATATTATGAAGATACGTGGCTCAGGTCTAAATGTTTAGGCGCCAATTTATGGGGGTTTTCTTTTCGTAAAACATTGCGAGAGTACAAAGATATATTTACATGAATATGATACAACTTCGGTTGTCTTGAAAGTACAATAACATTTTCTTGATATAATTTTTTAAGTACAGAACTTATAATTGAGGAGTTAAAAAGTTTTATTACTACTGATAACTGTAATAATTATTATTAGTCTTTAAGCAAATGCATATATTCTTTTTTTTGTTGGTGTTTTATATATTTTTTCTATTTAGACAAGTAATTTGTTAATAATATGTCTTTTTTTTATTTCTTTTTTTTTAATATATAAAATAAATATATATAGTTTTTGTAAAAAATAAAGGTAAAAAAAAGAAATTCGTTATTGAAATGAGCTTAAGCTGAATGTGGTGGTTTTCTGATGCATACTTTTTTTGTTATTTTTTTTTATATTAGGTTATACTTTGTAATGTTTGTTATCCCCAAGAGAGTGTTTAAGGGGAAAGTGAGATAAAAATGATGACCAGGCCTTTTATTATTATTTTTTTGTAACGGATAAAGAAAAGGCTCTTGAAGACTGTTTCCAAAAAATCGTTGAATATTTCCTAAGTTACCCCTTATTCCCTCTTTAAAAAATGTGTAAGATATTTTACGAAAAAAAATTATCGGTGTTTTAGGCAGATGTGTGTCTACAATTTTTCTATTGTTATAAATTAAAAATAAATAAAAAAAAAATTAAAAAAAGTGCTTAGCTCTCTGTGGTTGCAATATTTCCATTCGGAAGTTCTTTAATAATTAGTGTTCTTTTATTGCACCTGCGAGGAAACGGGATCTGTGCAGTTATAATAATTTATATTTGTTAAAATAAATGTTTGTTTTTTTTATATATTTTTTTTAATTATTATTAACTAGAAAATTTAGAAGAAAATTTAAGTTTGAAATGTATATATACATATATATATTCCCCCCCCCCATATCCTGATTAAGAATTTTAAAAGATTTATGTTTTTAATCGGGTCACAGTATTATTATATAAAAAATGTTTTTTCACCAAATTCAGATACTTACACAGCCGAAAAATGAGTCTTGTGTAACTTATCACTCCCACAATCCATTCAAAATGTATTTTGATCAATTTTTTTTTACATAAATTGGTTTTGATTACATCACAAATACATGTGAATTTTTTTTTATCTAACTACCATTGAAATTAATATAATTAATTTAGGTTTTTTAAGATTCTTTCAACAAAATATTTTGAAAGCAGATATAGCAAATATATATAAATTTAAATACTGGATTGGTTAAAGTTATTTATAAAATTATTCAGTTGGTTAACATTAATAGGACAGCTACTGATCATCTTCAAATTTAGAAGAAAAAAAATTAAATTATTTAAGGAATTTATATTGAGTTTAAATAATACTACCATATTTTATAAAAAATTATATTAGCACAATTTTTCATTTATGATGTAATTTATTTGATTTGTTTATTTCCAAAGTGAAGATTTTTATGAAAATTGAGATAAGTATTGATTCCTATGTAAAAATGCCAATGAATTCGATGGTACAATTATTTAAAAGAAAAAAAACGAACCTCAATATTAAAAAAAAATGGTGTCAAAACAAGTTTATTTCTGATACGACCTTTTTATTCAAGGATTGTTATGGAACTTGCATTTAGTAAGTATTCTTTAAACAAATTAAAAATTCATTTTATTAATTTAAACCCAGTATAAAATTACGTTGATCAGATGTAATTAAAAAAAAAAAAAGTTTTTGATAAAATTAAATATTCTAATATTGAAAAAATATGCTTGTACACTCCTAAAAACAATAAATATTAATACAATCTCAAATAAGACTCAGTGGTTGACAAATGTTCATGAATCTAATTATTTTAGAGTTAAATCGCATCTTATATTAGAAAAGAATTCTTATATAATTGAGACAAAAAAAATTATATATATATACATATATATAATTGAAAGGTAAAATATTTATATTTTAAAGAAATATGATTGTATGTCAAACTTATTAAAATAGAATTAAAACTAAAATTTTATTTGTATTATTAAAGTTTGAATCAGGACATAATTCACAGAGAAGAATAATTGAGTTTAAGAATGCAGAGAGAACAATTAATTTCCTTAACCGATTGTCAGCTATGCTTGGATAAAACTTTATTATATTAATTATTTATTGACAATATATAAAATAACTAATCAAGATGATTATGTAAATTTTTTCTTATAACATTCGTTTAGAACTTTTATTTATGACTATTATATTTAAAAATTAAAAATTAATTTGTACGTTGTGGATCCTTTTATGTCCTCCAGGGGACCAGGCATATTTGGTCGTTATAGCCTGTTGTATGTTTTGAGAATCATAAATATAGAAATATTCGTCTCTATTACCAATATGTCATTATATCCAATATTATACACGATGTCCAGAGTATCTATCAAGTTTTATGTTTTTTTATTTTATTTTTTTTCTGTTCCTCCCGACAAAATTTGAGATGTATTTGTAATGTAATCAAAGCCTTTTATATTAGTTCATGTATTGAAAAAACTATATCAAAAGTTATGAGAAGGGGGAAATCAGAGGAAATAAGATATTTTTCATTTCAAACATTTGAAATGAATATACCAGTCAATTGTCTTTTAACTGATTATAAGGAGTTTAGTCTGTAGTGGTAGGTCATTTTTACTTTATTATTATAATATTTTTTTTTTTTAATCGGTTTGTCTATATAAACTATCGTCATTCGTGCCTCATCGTTAGGAAATAACAATATGAAAAAAAAATAAAATAATACATAATGGGTATCTGTCGGACAAACTGCACAATTTAAATTAAGTAGTCTTATTAGTGTTTTTACTCTTACAAAAAATAAAATATTTAACGTAATATATATTAAAACTATAATTCTAGTGTAGCGTTCGATAAAAATAGTTATATTGAACTGAATGTTTCATATAAATATTTGTACATAACTGGGCCATAATGATTAGTGAAAAAACGGTAGTAAATTTTGCTTAGACGGGACGATATGCTCCATTACAATTTTAATAAAAGTTTTACTTATTATGCATTATGGAATTGGTCAATTTGTGTGTTAGTGTTGTTTAACATGGTTACTTATATTTTGTGTAGCTCATTTTTTGTGAGTCTGTTACGGCATGGATATATATATATTTTTTTTTAAGTAACGGTATCTGGTATCGTTATCTTGTTTATAACAGACACAAATTGGCCATGGATAAAACTGAATATTGTTAAAGCCTTTTTTTTATTGCTGCTGGTATATATATAAATATGTATATGTTAAATAAAATTGTGTTCATTTCGCACTGCCCCTTTTTAACGTCAAATGTAAAGGTGTAATAATATCGCCATGTCAATGAACTAACAATCTTTATAAGACGGATGCTTTTTCTTTTCTCCAATGTGTTGTATAAATACTTGGATCATGTTTACTTTTATTAAACATGTTTCTGTTTAAATTTTAGGCTTTATAGTTAGCTTTCTGTACTTATCGCAAGCGCTTGTTCAGACCTATCTTTAATAGCCATTTTCTTGAGCAATAAAGAAAAAAAAAAACGAAAACAGATTCCAAATCGATGCTAGACGCTTTTTATGAGTTTATATTAATCGCCATTCGAGCCTTTAATCGAGTCGGCTCAGGAACATATGAACATCATTAAATTCCTTAAATAAATTATAGTAATTATTAAAGGGAAAATTTTGTAACACAAACAAAAATGTTTGGTTGTCATGATACATATCAGACATGAGCGAATTAAAAAAAAAAAAAATACAAAAAAAAAAAGAAATGATTCGTTCCTTACTTAGTAAAAGAATTTATGATTGATCGGCGAGGGGTTTTCAAAAGAAATAGAGAGGATTATTGAGGATTCCCCGGTCCAATTTCGTCCTTCAATTTTAAGCTTTAATTTGAACATAAAGAGAAAAAAAAATGTGTAATTAACATTTCTTCTTCTTTCTGGCAGTGAAACTTTGTTATTTTTATTTAATTTTCTTTATGAATTAAGTAAAAAATAAAAAAATTTGGGCATAAGACTTTCAGAAATCACTTAACAGTTGTAAAAATATCTGTTCTTAAAATCTAAAATTTTTAGTACTAAAAAAAAAGCATATATAATCCGCAATAAAAAATATAAATAGAAATATAATTGGTGGGGACGCACCATCTTAGCTCTGAATGACTTATGCGCCTTGTAATTTATTTATATTATTCTTTTATACTGTTTTTTTTTTTTTAATTTGTTATTATTAAGATATGTTTAATTTAGTTTGAAATAATGGATGTCGCTTAGTGGTATACATATATGTATATGTTCGTTTAGGGTGCAATAATACAAATTAAGTATAAATTGCTAAGTAGGTGATATAATAAGTAGTTTTCATGGTTAATTATGTATTAATTTATTTTCTGTTGATGCCTAAGTGTTGTTGAAATGATTTAAGTTGACTTCTTTATTTTAACAACATATATATTGACGGTAGTTCCCTTTGATTGAATTTATATGTGTATAATATATATATATTTATATATTATGTAATACTATTCCTTAGAAGTGACCTTATAAGACATTAAGGAATGAAGCATTCAAAGTTTCACTGTCTCAAATATTTTCATTTTTTCTGATGCAGTAGAAGCTCTATTAACATGTTAAATGATAATAAAGGATTTTTTGGTTAAATTCTGAACGAAAAGTAAACAGGAAAAAAAATTCTTTGAGACTACTTTTTTTTCCTGCATAGTACAATTTGTGTCCTTGAAATTGTATAATTTTTTTAAAAGCTCTAAGAATCGTGAATGACTTGATTTTTTTTTAATGTTTCATTAATATACATTATATACATACAGTATATACATTAATTTTATATATAAATACAGTAGAAACCTGCTTATCAATCCTAATCTAGGCCAAGGCATCGTCGGTTGATCCAGAGTACGAAAAATATGAAAACTCCAATATTAATATAACTTAATTAAATTATCTCATGAAATACAATATATAATTTACAATAAAATGAATTGCTTATTTCCTAAGTGAACCTTGGTTTATTTTTTTGGAAATAAAGATAGGTTTTAATTCTTATGTGAAACACACCATGAATCAAATGGTGTAATTATTTTTTGCCAAAAAAAAAAATCAAAATTTTAAACCAAATCATTTGAAAATAAATTTATTTCTTGCTTTTTTTTTTTTTTTTTTTTTTTTTTACTTCAAGGAATGTAATGATACTAATATTTCTCGAGTACTTTTAAAAAACAAAAAAAACATCAACATCTTTTTAAAATTTTTTTTCGAATGAAAGTTTGAAATAAATTGTTTTTCTCATATCATTTTAATAACTTCACTCCCCTCTTACTTGAATATTACACCATTTTTTCTCTTAAAACTGAATCCTAATTAACATTTCATAAAAAAAAAAAAAAAATTAATAATAGCAATCCTTGAAGTTTAATTAGTTCCAAAAGTGGTTCATTAAAGTTTAAATGTATTTTAATTACTATTAAAATGATAAATAATCTCACAATTGGAATAGAAAATATAGTTTGTTTTTTTTTTCCTGAAAATTTGTCATAGTTGATTATGGTTCACTTTAGAAATAAACAATTCGAAATACACTGTATCCTATTATATCTAAATAACTAGTCGGTAACCGTAATGCTTTTAAATATAATATCACTTTTAATTCACTATTATTATGTTTTTATATTTGGATACAAATTAAATTATAAATGTTGAAAATAATAAATTATCTTATTATCTTAATTAAGACTATTTTAAAGGATATTATCAATAATTATATGATTAATTTTTCAAATCAACATCTATATCATCCCATAATTTTGAAACTTATTATTATCACATTTTCTATTTATAATATCATCATTTTTCTCCTTTTTTTTTCACTGTTTTTGTTACTTTCTGCTAAGTGGGATTCTACTGTATGTATAAACAGATTTGACTATTGTCATTAAAATAAATCACTTTATTGTAATCAACCTCGGAACAGATAATATAAAGTTAACAGAAGTAAATGTTTTAAACAGTTTAGAATGAATAGCGCATTGAGATTCCTTTGGAAAATGGTCACACGGGCATTCATGTTTTAATGTCGGAATCGTTTCTCATAGCCTAGAAAGGTGACTTTCCTTATTCGATTGGCTGAATTTCTTACATTTTTAAAATGTAAAATGAATTTGATTAATTATTAAAGTAGTATTGAAAAAAAAAATATATATTAACCTGGGATATATTAATGATTTTATTAACATGTCTTTTAACTTTTAATTGGTCCATGATAAACAACTTAAAAATTGAAATAATAGAGAAATCTCCTTTAATAAAAATTTATTATAATGTTAATCTGAACCTAAATAATAAAATGAAATTAAACTTAAAAAAAAAAAAATTGTTTTAATAATGTGAGCTTGTAACAAAAGTGGCATGAATAAGTAAATTTGAGATTTTATGTTTAATACTGTTTGAAAATAATAAGTGGTTATATAGACTGTTAATATATATTAACATTCTCTCCATAAAGTTGCCTCGTCTGAAATCAGTAACAAATTCAGGATTTAAGTTTTTGGGACTCAAATTTTTTTTTTTTAATTTTGTTTATTTTTTAATAATGGTAATTACCAGAATACTGATTTTAGTGGTAGATTTTTTTTTTTTTACGTGTTCTTATACATATTGCAGCTTAAGTACATGTATTATAATTTAGAGAATATATTGTATTTTTTTAATTATTTGGCTTAGATCACCTGTAGTAACAAAACAAAATTGGATCAGTGAAAAAAATTAATTTTCTATTTTTTTTTTTTGGGTGAGGGAGGGGAGGAGATATCAGTCCAAAAATCTTTCCTGTCTTGAATCCACCAGTGATTAGAATGCAATATATACATGAATAATTTTAATATTTCAGAATACTAGTTGGTATGGGTTTGTGAAACAGGATTGATTCCATTTTCTTTTTAATTTATGCCACTTTCATTACAACGGGTTTATAATTTAAGATAATCCTAATCAGTTGTGTAACCATCAATGGGTTAAAAAAAAACTGAATGATCAATGAGAATCAAATAACGTAAAAAAATAAGTAAAAATATGTTTTAAATTAAACAGTGGTGCTGCTAGCGTTTTTCAGTTTATAAAAAACAGCAGAAATCATTCAAAGTTTAAAATTTCAAATTTATAATTAGGTAGTAATTACTCATAAAAACACTTCTGAGTGTTTGGTGTTATTTTATGTTTCTTAAAACAATTGTGTTACATTACAAACACTAAAATAATTTCAAAAGTGTTTTATTGTTTGAGAGCGGTTCATGCCTGTGAGTCCAGGAACTTATTGTGTCAGAGAGCGTCGAGCTTATTATTGATTTCGATTTGAAGTATTAATAATATTGTGTGAGTCGGTTTCACAGTTTTCAATTAAACATTTTTTTTTTGTATAATTTTTCAAAGTTTATTAAATTTAATTTGTAAATTTAGAGCCAGTCCTGGAATGGACTTCAAAATCGATTATATTATTAGGTACCGTATTTCGATTATATTATTAGAGTAAATCATTAATAAATCAAAATGTTATTTTATTACGACTTATTATAGTTATTACTTAAAATGCCAACGATATGACAATATAAATTATTAGAAATTTAGAAAGAGAATAAATTAAGAAAATTTAAAATTAAAAAAAAATAAAGTGTGATTTAGTTAAGAGGGCTTCTTCTGTACTTAAGCTTTATCCCTTATTAATTGTGTTACGTTTGAAATGAACGAGTGTCTCTTGTCCGAATTACCACAGCGTACGACTGTGAGTGCCTATAGATAGTCCCTTTCAAAAATCCAGCTACAGGGTTTATTTTATTTATTCATATATATTTTTTTTCCATTAATTCACATCAGACCCCATTTTCTTCTATTGTTTCTTATCTTTCCACGTAAAAACTTGGTTTGAGAATGCTCAATCGACTGAACAAAAGTGGTAACAAATTCAAATATCTCTGTCCAGTATGAGAGTAAAAAGAAATTTTTCTCGCTCATGTAACAACCATTAAAAATATGATATATATAAAAATATATATACCATTATTTTAATTGTATTTTAAAATATTTTAGTATAGAGTGATCTATATAAGTTATAAAATATTTTTATGTATTTCTTCACATTATTTGAATAAAATGCAACTGAAGAATGTTGTTTGTTTTTTTATTTTATATTTTCAATCATTTTTTTTACCCATGCCTGGAAAGTTTTCAAGAGTCCAAGGATTAAATATTTTATTATAAGGATTTGATTCTAACATCTCTACTGAAATCCTAAATTTCAGATCTTGAAGGTATAAGTATTCCAATTATTAAGTCTTATTTTCTGTAACAGGTAAGTAAATATGAATGGCCTCATATCAAAGGCAGACATCTGTAACCAAATTCGAAATTGTTTATTAATTAATGCTTAAAGTATGTTAAACTTAGCTTCTAACTTAACAATTTGTTTCAAAAGAGAGTACTTATTTAATAGCGGGTAGCGTCCGACTGCTATCTGCCAATGTATATAACCCTAACATTGATAAGCTCATCATATTCATATTTATTGTATTATATTCATATTATTATATCTTCATATTCATATTTATTGTATTGTATTCATATTATTGAAATTGTGAACAAAAACAAATGTAATAATAAAAAAATACTTTTATTTTATAACATATATATTAAAATAGACCAAAACATTATAAATATATAATTAAAAAACATTGCAACATATATATAAAAATAAATGCAATAATAAAAATATACAATGGGCTTTATAAAAAAATAGACAATGGGATTTATGGAACCACCCATAAATGAATTTTAAAGCCGTTAAAAAAGAAATCCTCAACCTCTTCTTCTGAAGACGGGAATTCCCACAATGTGACAACATCCATAATTAAATAATACTAACTCACAGCTAACACAAAATAAACAAGGGAATAACTTAGGTTAGATGAGATAAGGGAGGTTATGTGAAATGAGATTAGATAAGAAGGGAGTTTTTGATGCTACCCGCTATTAAATAAGTATCCAAAAGAGGAAATCTACCAAACTGCCAATGGAATATCCGAATTCTGACCACGTTATTCAATCTTAGTAGAGGTTGTCTATTATTTACTGAAGGGAAAGAGCACCAAAAGACAGATTATGGGTAGTAACTCTTGATAATGAATTAAAAACTGTTTTGATACTTGAAATATTACATTAAACAATTTTTTTTTTTTGGGAGGATAAAAAATATAATATGCAGTCAGTATTAACTTTGCTAAAGTTTCTATACGTTGTTTTTGCATAATTCTTATTTATTGAATAGTTTAATTTATATTAATTATTTTTATTTTCTTTCAATGATTTATAGCACGAAACAATTTTCTTAGCATATTGTTGCCATTATCTCATGCGTACATTCCAGTTTTTTCTTCTCTTATTTAGTCTTTACTTCTATTATTTTATATTTATCATTTTTCTGATGTAATTTTATGTTTATTAATTTTTAGCCCTGATGATTACCCACTTAATCATGTTACTAAATGTTGTCACACATAGTAACATGATTATTGACTCCATATCCTGACTAATTTTTATTCTTACTATTTCAACAGCCAATTATATATCTATATTTTATTTTCATATTGTCAATATCTTATTATCACATTGTCAATATCTGTTAATAATTAATCAGTGAATGGAAGAAAATAAATTAAAAAACATATATACTCTTTATTATTAAAATATAATAACATTAAATCAACAAATTTAAAAACTATTAAACATTTCAACATTTTATAAATAATTTAATACAGCTTTAACAAAGAACAGCAAACTGTAGCATATGATTAATTAGAGATGAAACATAATAAAATGTTGCTCAAGAAAGAAGAAACAGTTAATGCTAAAAATAAAACGTCCTAGATGGACCAGAAGAACAAGTAACGTTTCTCATTTCTTTTTAAATATAAAAATTTATTTATTGCATGAAGCTGTTAAATTTATCTTAAGCAAGTAAAATACTGTTCATTGTGGTTTATAAATAACGGCCATAATTTTTTCCTTTGTCATATAATGTTCATGTTATTCAGTAATTTACATTACAAGCTTCAAGAAGTGACCAACGGTTCTTCAGACCTAAAAAACTTTTGGTGTACTTTCTTCAGTTCATCCCAAAATACGAAGCAAAGAACTGTGTGTGGCCCAATCCTCATGTAGCAAGGTACTATTCCTTTATAGAATCCTCTGAAGCCTTCGGTTTTCCACATTTTTGAGACACAATCAAAGTAACCAGAATACAAGACTCCTTTTCCCTGAGAATCAACACCTAAAAAACAAAAATAAAACTGTTAAATAAGGAAATTTATAGATGATTAATTAATTACAGTAAGCGCTCTTGATAAATCAGACAGCATTGTTAGGAGAGGATGATTCTCAAACTTAACAACTTGCAGATCAATTGAATGTAACATGAGAAACTGTCTCCATACGTTTGGAAGCCATGGCAATAATCCGGAAGAAATGGATTCTGCATGAAATGAATTAAAGCAACAAGCAATGTGACACGTGATGAAAAGTGGATATATTTTAAGAATCCTAAGCGTCATAGATCATGAGTAACTCCAGGTGAACTATCAACATTTATTGCCAAGACCAAGTCGCTATGGAAGGAAGACAATGCTCTGTGTTGGGATCAGAAATGTGTGATCTATTATGAGTTGCTAAAATCTGATGAAACTGTTAATATTGAACACTTTTTATGACAACGATTGGTCTATAACAACTAGACTACCCAATATCATGATAATGCAATATTCTACATAGCAAAACCAGTGAAGGGAACGATTGAGCAGTTTAGTTGGGAAATACTGGCATATGCAGGCACAGCTAATCAGACTTAGCTCTATCCAACTATTGTTTATTTGCATTGATAGGGCATGCATTTGCGGAGCAGATCTTATGAAAATGGCTCTATGACGCCACAAGCAGATGTGGTGCCACAAAACAGGACAAAGGAAGCTGTGAGAGGACCAGAAAAAAATAATCATGGAAGGAATTCTGAGAGAAAATGAACCAAGAACAAGGAGATAGTTTAAGCCCATTTCTAATTTATATATATGAAATGGTTTTCATCTGTAAAAGAACAGAGAAGACATTTTTAAGGAGAAGAAACCTTCATCTGGTGTTGATTCAGCTTCTCCCTTCTGCCAATGGCATTGTTCTTGTTGCTGATTCGGTTGAAAAGTTACAGCAGGCAGTGACCAAATAGTATGAGGAACTATTCCGAAAGGGGATGTAAATCAATACCAGCAAAAGTAAAGTATTACAAATAAGAAGGCTGATTGAAGATATACAGCCACATTGCAATGGAGAGGATTTGGAAGAGGTCATGGACTTTACCTACTTAGGAACAATCATAGATTAGGGAAAGTTTACTCGGAAATATCTAACAGAATAGGCAAGGAAAATGCGTTCTACTACCCTATTTGGTAGTGCAGTGGTGCAGATTTGCAACACTGTTGTAGGAAAGTGAGATGTAGCTAAGGACATCAAGCTTCATGTATTTAAATATGTCTACCTACTAATACTTTTGTACGGGGCTGAAAGTTGGATATTGACAGACAGACAGGAGAGCAGAACTTCTGCTACAGAAATGAAATATCGGCAAAGAACAACTGGTAAGACTAGAAGAGAAGACCGTGTTGGCAACGAGAGGATATGGCAGGAACTTTTGAGGCAACCCTATTGAAGGATGTTGTCCAAACCCGCCAATTGAAATGGTTTGGCCATGTGGTTAGGATGGAGGTATATAGGGATCCATTGATGACGATAGATTATGTTCCAGATGGCAGAAGACATCGAGGACGCCCAAGAATGTCATATGGAATATATAAATAGACTTTGTAGAGGAAGAGGCAAAGATTCCCATCTGGCCAGGAAATTAGCGAGAGTAGGGGGAGGATTGGAATTTGTGGCTAAGCACTCCTCTACGCTGAGAGGCACAAAAGAAAGAAGCAAAAGAAGAAATAAATATATACCTTGGTTGTAGAGTCGAGTTGAAATTACATCTAATGGACCCATTGTGATTGCTACAACGACTCCACCCATCATACTTGCCAAGAAAGTGTTTAAAAGACCAGGAGCTACCTGATAATACTGTAAACATAACACCAAGATTAGTATTTTATTTTAATTTTAAAAATTAAAGATATATTAATAAATATATTTCTGATCAAAATTAGCACACTACATTAATTTTAAGCAAAAATCCTATTTAATGAAACTATTAAAATCTCTTTGTATTATTTCAGAAAGGTACAAAGATTGCTTACAACAGGTGATTGTTGTATAATCCCATTCAAAATGGAATTTTTTAAGTAATCAAAAGAAGCTTTTTAAGAGCTTCTTCTAAAAAGGCTTAAAAATTAAAAAGAAAAAAAAATTCAGGAACTTCAGATCAAATTAACATATTGATGTTAAGGTGGTTTATTGAAAAAGTTACTAAGTGACGTTTCATAACCTTACAGAATTTTCTCTTCTCTTTATTAAATCAGAAAATTGTGTGCTTGTTGTATATTTGATATATAGAAGGGTTTGTGTCATGAACTTACAATGTTTTTGTATCAATAAATAAAGTTGAATTCCACAAAAATATATTTGAAAGGTAACCTATATAAAAAATACAGTCAGTGACTTTTTCCAATAAACCGACGATATTATCTGTCACTGTGGACTTACTAAGTTAAATTAGACAACAAATAGATTAAAAAACAACCTACAGAATGCATCATCGGTCAATTAAGTAGAGTAAAGATAAAACTTTTTCAAGCTGAAAAATCTGATAGATTTGTTAGTTTTTATAAGATAAATTTTTTTATAGGGAGCTCTTTATTCATTTATAATATGATTAAATGATTGAAAATATTACAATATTTCAGAGTTCAGTAACATTGTTTGAAATATTTAAGGAATTAATTTTATAAGTGAATTAAGCTGTATCCAAGAGATAAAATGAATTAGATGCAAGATATACATGATTTAATTTATTTCAATAACAAAGGGATCACATTTAATGCTCTGCTTAAATAAAAAACAAAAGAATTTTTAATACTTTCGATTACATTAAATGATTATAGATTTATGAAAGAGAATTTTAAAAATATCGTTTCACTAACTGAGTATCTTATTTGTGGGTTTTCTGTTAATTTACTAAGAAAAACAATTTTTAGGGTAAAAAAAATCTTTTGAGACTTCAATTATTAGAAAACTCAACTAAATTTGAAAGATTTAAATCGGTTTTTAAAAATGGAAGCCAATTATGGCTTCATTGACAGATCTTCAGGCAGAGGCCCCTCCCCCTTCCCAAATGGACAAATCATTATTTTACTTGATTGATCCATATTTATTACTGTGAGTGATATAAGCTAAAAACTTAAAGCAATCACAATACATTCTCTTTATAAATTATTTTACATATTCCAATATATTGTACAGTGATTGAATGTAATCGTGTGTCAAGAAAAAAAATTATTTCTCAAAAATTGTCTAAAAATATTACTGCTCATATAATTAATGTAATGTTTTTTGAACAGGCCTCTAAGTACCATTTAAACATAATCATAAAGATAGTTCTTTATTTATCTTCAGAGTTATTACCATTATATATAAAGACAATTATTATATGGGTAAATTCATTTATTGTAATATAGAATTCATTTATTATAAAAAAAAAAAAAAAATTAAATCCTACTGAATTATGGTATACTGTGTTGAATTTTAAATGAGCTAAATTTGCTTAAGGTCAATTTGATTTAATCATTATTATTATTATTTTTTTTTGCAATAAAGGCCAAGGACCGCACGTATTATTTCTTGCTTTCCTTTTGGCCCAAACTTTCTTAATTTTTTCACTCATTTCCCTTTTTCATTCTTCGGTCCATATCCTTCATTTCTTTTCCTCTTTTTTATTCCAAGGACCTCTACCTTATTCACTGTTGCCCTGAATTTATCCCTATCTAGGTATTCATCTTCTTTTATCCCAAGTCTTACTATTTCTTCCTTAATCTGTTCAGGATAACCTTTGATGTTATTCAGTCTCATTAATTTTAATTAATGTTATTATAAATTATGGTTTATTTTTTTAATAAATGAATATAGATGCTTGACTGTATGTAAATCAAGGAGTATTCATTGAATACATGAAATTATGTACTAAATTTTAAAACAATACAACTACTTGTGAATTAAAAAATGGCTTACTTGCCAAATAAAATTCTAAAAAATAGATTTAATTTATAAATTAAAAATAAAACAAAAAGAGTTCTAATAAAACTAATCATTTAAAACACATTTAAGGGTATGATAAGTGCACAGCTAATTATTAACATGAAAATATAACAGAAACAAATTGCAACAACTAAGAAATTTAGAATGAAATAAATAATTAGTTTAAAAAGTTATAAGTAGAAGAATTAATAATAAATGAATCACTTTTAAATTAAGGCTTTGGATATTATTGGAACTTGGATTAGGAAAATAAAATATATGTTATTAATTATTAGAAAAATATACTCACTGAATTAGTTGCAAGAAATTCTTTGGCTACATAAAAAGTTCCCAGCTGGCTGGCGGATCCTACGGACAAACGGGGAACAGAACCAGTCACTCCTCTCCAAAGGCCAAAGAAACCCTCCGATTTCCAAATCTCAACCACAAAACAGCAAATAAAAAAAACTTATCCCAAATAACAACTCTAACTAAAATTGACAACAAAATATTACCACTAACATTGCTAATGCCTACTTCATCCACCAGTCAATTGAAAAACGTTAAAACATTTCTTTCCAACAAATTGGTAAAAATTAAATCAAATGTTACAAACAAAGTTATGCTGATTATGACTTTGATTTTGCTTGGAATACACATAAAAAGTTACCAATTACAGCAACATATTTTAATTTAAATTTGTGCAAATATTTATTCAAATAAAATATATTACCTCCGTTAAAGCACTAAAGGTGCCAGAAACTTTATGTTGAGTTCCTACAGCTATACTCTCTGCCGATTGTGCTTGTAGACGTATTTTCATCTTAAAACATGTTAATATTATATTAAATTTGTATAATTGTATAATTTGTATAATTTGTAGGTCATTAAAAGTAAGTGCTTAACTTATTAGAATTATTTATAAATTCATTGATGATATAACTGAAAATGAGTTGTGAATAAAAATGTGGGTACTAAATAAACAGAATCTAATTCTAATTAATAAATTCTTACATAAAATAACCATTTCAGATTACTATTTTCTTTTTTCAATAACGAGGAATGGTTGAAAGTGGTTTAATTCAAATCTATAGAAAAAAAATTACAGACAATAGAAAAATCAATACCGTAAGCTATTGTATATATTTTGAAGTTACATACCAACTGTAAAGGGCTTCCTGCATAAGCTCCAGCTACACCCATGACACCACCTATCGCGATTGTGTTCAAAAGGGATACTTCACCATTCTTTTTCTTGTACAGATTCTTATCTTCAGCGATTTGGTATCCTCCGAGCCTGACACCGTTCAGTAGCACTTGGTGATAAAGCGCTGGTACTAGACCTTTCTGAAGAGCCAAAATTCCTTCTGTCTTTGCAATTATATAACCAGCGTGTAAGAAATTTTTGTAATGGACAGTATACTGACCTCTTTTTCGAAGCTCTCCTTGCAGCTGGAAGCGTGTTTTAACAACTTCTAATGGATTTGTGAAAAAACAAGCACCAATGGCTGAGAGAGCTCCAATACCAAATTCCATTTTTGTTTAAATAATTTAAAAACTTGCAGATTTATAATTTATAACAGAGTAATTTTGAATCTATAAATAATATTTAGATGAACGAAACCACTAAAGAAAGGGATTCATGAAGAATAATCCTACTTTTAAATCTTGACATGGAAACTCTCCCTAACCCAGACCGATGCTGATAAGAACTGATTAAAAGGTATACAGCTGGTTACACTCAAGGTCATGGATTAATAAACATGATCTTTATTTTTCCGATTCCAATTAATACATAACTCATTAATGAAATAATAATAAATGTAAAATGAAATTATATCACGTCATTTATTACTAGTATTCTAGTTATGACGCATTTTATGATCAACTTAACTGTTTGGCAAACTAATACATCATTTTGCCTGATAAATTGACATTTTATTTGTTAATTTTCGAGATAATGCAAGGCAAAGAGTTCGCATCCACACAACCTTACGTTAATTGTAGTACTGTCATTGAATACATGTATCATTTCGTCAACTTGAAGCCACTATGATAGAGAGTGGAGGAGTTATATTATTTATTGAAGGTGTTTTTTATCGGTAAGTCACATCATCGTTAATTCTTCATCAAATACCAAGATTGAGCCACCAATTTTGAAAATTTTCTTCTCCTTCACGTGGGCAAAATAGTCCAATTATCCCGAAAATTCAGGCAAAAAACTTGAAACAAAAAAAAACTTTATTTGTTCGATATAATTCGAAAATTACACACTTTTCTCTGGATTATGTTCATGATTATATAAAGGATTACTAAATTCTCTACAAAAGGAAGAAAATATCATCGAAATCGGACTATTTTTAGGAAAGATACAGCTTATTGAAATTTGTAAACATTAATGAAGTTTTAAATTAATTTTCGTTTCTTTTGTCGATATTATTTAGCGATAAAGTACAATTGATTTCTTATATATGTTGCATTGTTTTATTTTCCTATTAATTTATTATTTGATCACTGAACAATATACTGTGCGAATTTTCTCACGGTCCTACTTGTTATTTATAATTGTTCGTTGCTCTCCATTACCTTCTACGACTTTCTGTACGAGATATTGTTTTTTTTTTCGAAAGTTCTCCGCATTCCAACAATAATTATACGTATATCTTCTGAATATTAATTCCGAGAATTCATTTTCGACCTAAATAAACATTTTCACTTTTTTCTCCATTTTTCAATTATCAAATTCTTTCATTCTTATATCTAGCCATTTTTAAATAATCTAAATTAATGGTACTTGAGAGGAATACGTATATGAACAATGGGCATTTAAGCTCTGTAAAGTGACATCAGTAAGGATAAGACCTAGCTGATATTAAAAAGAACTTAACAATTCACTGATTCACCGAGTTTAATTAAAATCTTTAGAGCTGTTTTCGAGAAAACCATAAAAATGTGTTAGCCATATTAAATTATTATAATATTATTGGATAATATTAAATATTGACTAAAACGTTGCTGTAACATCTCAGGCATGTAAAAACAATTTTGCCAAAAGTTAATCTTATAGAGCACAAACGTTCAAAAACCAAGCATAGAAAGTCCCTTTCCAACCATTCTATTTAGGCGATTCGTTTACGAATTACAATTAGCTACCTGGTAAATATCACAAATTCGATTTGATGCTCATTGAATATATTCATTGATGCTTTGAGTAAAATTTATTAAAAGCTTTAACTGCCTCTCTAATATGGCCAATTTAAAAATAAGAATATTGGGCAAATTCCTAAATTCAGTGCTGAGTTCATCGGATCCCTTTCTAAACGGGCCATCGATGAGCCCAGCGCTGAGTTTAGGAACTTAATCATTCCATTCTTCTAGTTACTTTACCGACAGGAGAGTCCTTAGCTGGATGGCATTGTCAAAATTTTTGAAAGGCCACATATTTAAAGCGTTATGAGTTTTTGGAGGGAACTATATTTTTGTTATGGTCTTTTCAAACGAGAAAAGCTAAGAAAACTAAAGTTCAATTTTTATAACTAGTAGAAAAATTCGCACAGCGTATTGTTAAGTGATCAAATGCCAAATTAATAAGAAAATAAAATAATGCAACGTATCAAAAGATAAAGAAATCAATTGTTATTTTATCGATAAATACAATCGACAAAAGAAACAAAAATTAATTTAAAACTTCATTATTGTTTGGAATCAACATATTTACAAATTATAATAAAATTATCTTTGCTCAAAATTGTCCAATTTCGATGTGTTTTTTTTTTTTGTTTCCTCTTGTAAGGATTTAGTAATCTTTTATGTGATCATGGGCATAACCAAGGGGAAAGTGTGTATTTTTTTAGTTATTCGCAAATAAAGTTTCCTTTCTTTCATAACTAGTTTGCCTGAATTTTCGGGGTGAATGGACTATTTTGCCCACCTGAAGGAGAAGGAAGCCTTCAAAATTGGTGGCTCAATCTTGAGATTTGGTGAAGAATTAACGATGATATGGCTTGCCGATCAAAAATACCATCGATAAATAATATAAACTCCTCCTCTCTCGATCATAGAGACCTCAAGTCGACGAAATGAGACATGTATTCAATGGCAGTACTACAATTAACGTAAGGTTGTGTGGATGCGAACCCTATGCCTTGCGTTATCTCGAAAATAGTACGTTTTGGGGCTTAAAAACGCAGGACTGGATAGTTCCTTTGAAATCCGGACCTTGCTGTGCTCATAAAAATCTTCAAAGCCTAATTTGTACCGTATCGATCTACAGACCCAGCACCGTTCCAGTATTGAAGCCTAGTAAAATGTTTGTATCGACTTTATTTATTTTAGAAGGAAAAACAAAAGTGGAGAATGCGATTCGCTAACCCCCCGTGAAATTCTGAATCCAGCGGTACCCCACTCAAGGTATTTGAGCATGACAGGAGCTTATATTTGGTACAAAACCGATTTCGAGCCTTACAGTAATAATTTATGAGGGATGGGATGTGGGGATTTATATATTGGGGTGGGGCTTCTATTTTCACTTGTCCTATTTTTATGATGAGAAGAGCTGTAAAATTCCTTGGGAAGGTCAAATGCCCCTTTATTGATGGGCATCCCTAGTCGGTAATATGTTTTTTTTTAACATGCAATATTGATCTCTACACAAAGCGTTAAATCTCCTAAGTAGCAATAAATTACAAACTAATCGTTCCTTAAATTCAGATATCATAAGAAACGAAGAAGATAAGAGAATTAACACAGACAAAGATGTCACTTTTCACAATACCCACTCGTGTCACATGAGTCACGTGACATTGATAAACAAAATTTTTTATCATTGATATTGTGTTTGGTTTCTCGCCTTGCGTGTCAGTAAAATTTCAAGAGCCAAAATAATAGTACAAATAATTTAAGGAACGGAATAAATATGTTTTTAACATAAATTATTGATTTGTTTTTAAAAAATACAGGTAAAATACTATTTAAAGCATAACAGAAAGACGCGTAAGAACTTGTGTTTGCCGAATAGTACATTACCTGTTGCAGGTCCATTAACAGTGTAAGGTAAAGGATATGGTGGACCGAATAGACCAGAATATTAAAAGAAAAAGAATAATCACTTTCCCATATAATCCAGTTAATGAATGATTATAGAAGGAAATAGCGGGGACACAATTTTTGACTTTGGGACATACTTTGTACTAATAAGGATGTAAATAAACTAGAAATCCCCACTCCTAGGGGGAGTGCCTAGATTTATCGGGTGACTTTATCGGGTTTTCGCTTATATTAGAAAAACTATCCATCGCATCGACAAAGACATTCTATACAAAATTCAAGCTGATAAGATTTTCAATACGATTGATTACATATCATTTTTCTTTACCTAGCTTAATTTCCGAAATATTCGTCCTCAACTATCGCTAATTTGAAAAAAAATAATGTTTACCTCATATTTTTACTGTACTTGACTAGCTAACTCTTGATTGCTTCGTTCTACGTTAAGTCATGGGGAAGACAGTTTTTAATAATTAAATTTTCTTCAAGAATATGTATTATTTTACTAGTTTATCTTCAATGGTTCAAAAGTTAGACTTTTGAATAGTTGTAATGTAAAAATCATATTAGAATACATAGATATAAAAAAGAAAGAAATATATGCGAAAAGCATTCGAAATTCTATTGGAAACTTTGGGATATGATTGAACATTACTTTTAATAAAATAACATATTAACATCATATTGCATTTTATTTATATACAATAAATAAATGTTTGTGTAATTTACTATAAATTGAATTAAAGTTACAGGAAGTTAAACAATAATTGTAGGTGGTTCACTGATTTTCTCTGGCTCTTTATAAAAATGATTTCAAAATTAATTCATCCTTAACATCTTGTGATCAATTTGGGTTCCAAATGTTTATTTAATTTAGTATAATTTCAAAAATCTGATAAATGGATAAAATTATGTACAAACAATAAATTATAGTATGATATTAAAGTTAATTAAATAAATAAATAAATGGTGATGATCCTATCAAATGACTAGAATAAAACGATGATGAGCTTGCTCTTAATACTGTAAATCCTTGCTTAAATATTTTCTTTGAAGGTCTTTGAGCCTGTCCCAAAATATGAGGCTAAGCATCGTATGTGGTCCGATCCTCAAAAATCCTGGAACGATTCCTTTGTAAAAGCCTCTGAATCCTTCGGTTTTCCACATTTTTGAGACACAGTCGAAGTAACTGGAGTAAATGAGTCCTCTACCATGAGCATCTACCCCTGTACATTTCAGTACATATCAATATTTCATCTTTTAACTTTTATAATGTACAAAATATGCAAATAAAATACTTTCATGTATTTTTTATTATTTGATCAAGCTAACAATATATTTTAAATACTGAAGAAAACTTGGATTTATTCAATTTATAAAAAAATCAATCATTTAGGTATATGTTAAAAGCAATAACAAAAATAATAGAACTATAATCACTCATTGGCTTAATAATTGATAGGGAATTTTTGTTTTTGTTTTTATATTGTGCTTACAATAAATGATGTTATTAGTATTTCTACACATAAACAACAATCAGAACTTGAGGTTATTTCAACAACTTTAATTCACAAATGAACTAACAATGATACTTGGGTCAATCTTTTATAACACATATTATGATTGTATAAGTTATCATTGAACTAAAAAAAAAAAAAAAACTTAAAAAGTAAAACTAGTCCCATCTTGTGGAACGGGGGAAAATGGGGCCCACTTTCCCCTCCACTCCCTAAAGGTATATCTCAGTTTACTGGTATTACGTACAAAATAAAAAAATTTATATTATTAATTAAATGGAACAAATATGAATCAGAGGAACAACAGGCTTAATTTTTTATTTGTTTTTTAATCATATTTTCTCCTGAAAATAATACACTATTACACTAAATGTTTCGTTGATATAATTGGATCCATAATAAAATTCAGAAAGTTTAGGTAGAAAAAAAAAATCAAAGAAATAATACTTTATGTTTTTTTACATTCTAATTCCCTGGAAAAAATCTTCTAAATCTATTGATACTGAATCCTTAACTCAATTTTTCACAAATTACATGTTTTTTCCCCCCTTCAAATGTAACCTACTTCAGAATCAATTTGGAAATGTGATCTGAGTGAATAAGATTACAAGCTTAAACAAAACAAGTACAACAAATAATGAGGAGCAAGAGTAAATTATAAAGGCATAGTCCAAAAAAAAGGGGAAAATGGTTTTAGGTTAGGAATATTGATGTATAACTAATTTGAAGGAGCAAGGACTCTTGAAATATCTCATTAAGAGCTATTGTTCATCCGATGCAGTCAGTAATAAACTTGTTGGATAAATTAAAAAATAAAAATTGATCTATAAGATATTGATTTGTGTTTGAAAAAAATGAAATGTGATTGCATTGTTTTATTTTTCCTTATAGAAAATGAATTTATAAAAATTAGATAAAAAAAAGCTTTTTAGCACTGAAATGAATCCTTATGGTTTGTAATATCTTATAATATTTATGGTTTGTAGATGGAGCCACACCTATGAGTACCATATCACAAATAATTGACTATTCATAACACAACAAATCCTGAATTAAAGTTCAAAAATGTAAGAGTTATTTAATTAAATTATTTATTTTAAATAATACCTTGATTATAAAGTCGAGTTGAAATAACATCGAATGGATTCATCATCCCAGCAATGACTACTCCTCCCAGAATGCTAGCCAAAAATGAATTAAGCAGTCCATATTCAATAGCATAATACTGTAAAATTATAATTTTATATTAATTATATAAATGTTATATAAGTAATAAATCAATCTCTTTTTGTATGTAAAGTTTCTTAATTAAAAAATGATTCTGTTTTTATTATAAAAAAATATTTTTTATAAATTAGCATTAATTGATTAAATTGTTTGTTTGTGAGATTTTTTAAAATTTATTTATTTACAAACGCAGATAACTAAAAATGTATAATTTCATTTTTAACCATTATAGCAATAAATTTTAAGCAAATATTAAGCCAACAAAGTATACACGGTTCATAATTATATAAATAACTATAAAAGTAATATGTAATAGATTTGTCAATTTACGTTACCTTATTAGTTGCGATATACTCCTTCGCCAAAGAGAAGGTACCTAATTGACCCGCTGAAGCCACTGCCAATCGTGGTACTGAACCATTCGCTCCTCTCCAGAGACCAGCTATTCCCTCATGTTTCCATATCTGAAATTGAGGAATTATTAATTTATTTATTGTGAGTTTTAGCATGTTAAACGTTTTTGAATATTAGAAAAGCTATCATTAAATTATAAAATATAGATTAAAAATTTAGATTAATATATATTTAACCATTTTATTACTTGTGTAAAAGCATCAGCAGTTCCTGAAACTTTGTGTTGAGTTCCGACAGCTATAGCCTCTGTGGCCTGTGCTTGCATACGCACTTTGACCTGGAAAAATTAGAAAAAATAGTATTAAAATATTTTTAGAAAATTATCAGCTATTATCAAGAAAATATTATAGTTTTCGATTATTATTGCCAAATTGTAAAGCCTTAAATATTATAAACATCAAATTTGAATGATTTACGTATATGCTGGAATTATTTGTTAATTTTTCATAAGATTACTGTGCTGATAGCATTTCTCTTTCACAGCACATTATAATTTTTGTAAACGGGTGTAATTTAATTTTAATATATTCTCTCATTGTAGTTAGTAATAGCTAGGTGTAATTTAATTTATTTTTAATTAATTTAAATGTTTATTTCTAAAACACTATTAGAGTTATTAATAAATAACTTTTTTTTTTTAATTTAGAACGTTCATTTATTATTTGAAGCAAGAAATGAGGTATTTGAAACTCATCTACAAATTTTTTGATGCCAAATGTTCCAACAGCAGTTTGAAGCTCTCACAAAAAAAGCTTCTCTGATTGGATACTGGTACATATGTAATATAATTTTGCCAGATAAAGGATTGATTTGAAATCATTTGCAGTTATTATAGAATTATTTTTTAATTGTTAATAAAATATACAAAAATACATACCAGATAAAATGGACTCCCAGAATAAGCTGATGCAATGCCAGTTGCAGCGCCAATCATAGCCGTGCGTATAAATGAAATTTCACCATTACTTTTCAAGTTAAGTTTTTTTTCTTCAGCTAAATAATGGAATCCACCAAGTCTTACTCCGTTCATTAATATCTGGTGACCAAGCGCGGGCACCAAGCCTTTCTGCAGACCGAAGGCACCTTCTGTCTTTACGATCACATAACCAGCATGCAAAATGTTTCTGTAATGAACCCTATACTGACCTCTTTGCTGAAGTTCTCCCTGCAGCTGGAAACGTGTTTTTAGCACTTCGATCGGATTTGTAAATAAGGTGGCTCCGACTGCAGCAAGTGCTCCGAGTGCGAATTCCATTGTTCACTTGTATCTGGTGATAACTGTGTAATTATGTTTGATTGACACTATCTGAAAATCAATGCTACCAAAGCTTTAAAACGTTTTAAACTCTCATTGAACACGAACAGAAACACTTTCATAGTTGAATTATTTTTCCCTAAAAATTAAAATGCAACTACATAAATAAGTCAAAAGAACAATTTATATTAATTTAATGATTTTTATAAACTTTGTGCATAATTACTTATGATCTGAAATACAAGAGACAAGTAATGAAGTAGAACTCCATTTTGTCTACCAAGGCCATGAATGGCTCTAATATTAGTGTCAACGTGTGTGTTTTTTTTATACAACTGAGGCAGTCTAGGCTCTTGTTTATTTTCAGATAAATTACATTTGTTTGAAGGGTCAAAGTCTGCCAACTGGTGAAATATTTTTTAATGTATGTTGTATGTTGTGTGCGTTGTTGTATACTAAGGAATCTTATAACTAACTTATGATATTTAACAAGTATTATTATATAATTACTCTGCATTGGCCTTATAATACTTTAATTACTGTTACATTGCCTTTTTAATTATTCATTTTTATAATAAAAAAAATTAAAATACATTTTTAAGTATATTATTTAATGAAATTTATTGTTAATTATTTAAGTTATAATTATTAAAGGCTCCCCCAAAAGGAGTCCACAATATAATTAAGAGATGAATTATGAAGATATAATAAATCAATTATGACAAATCTTTTTAAAAAAATAAAATTATAAAAGAATGAGATAATGATAAGAAGATTGGCAAATTTGTTGTTGATGTTATAAGTTATATAAAAAAATATTGTAATGATAATATAAAAATACAAATAACAAACATTTTTTTTAATTTCCAGTCTGAAGATGGGATAATAAAGTGATCCTGAAACATCATGAAATAAAGAAAAAATTGTTGGGAGAGTAAAGCTGTTACTTAATTTTTATTTCTATACCTCAGATGAAAAGCATCTCCCTTAGGACTTATGAAAAAATATTATTAATAATATTTAGACTGTAGTTTAGAAGATACTAATAGTCGAATCACTTAAAAAAATATATTATAATTAAGTTATATAAATGAGTAGCTAATGTAAACTGCAATCATGTTTTTTGTTTTAGAATAATTACGGAGCGTCTAATTTTTTTTCTTCTAATTTTGTATTCTCGGTAATCTTATATTTCAGAAGTAGCAATCCATTATTACATAACAGTTAACAAAGAAGAGATTTGTCTTGAAAATTAATGATAAAATTTCATATTTGTGTACCAGTAAATTGTGTTGCATCAGCTTGTTTTGGGGATCCATTTAACTAGTTAACAATTTCTGTTAATTGTATCCAGAATTAAGAAATAATTCAATAAAACCTGTAAATAGTGCTTGTTCAACCCTTTATAAGGCAAATTAATTGAATATTGAAAAAAAAATCATCTTTATATTTATTCATTTAGATATTTACTACTGATTTTGTGTTTTTTATTCAGGAAATCATTCGAGGAATCACTGGGGTTTCTTTTTCTTATTCCTTGTTCTTGTTTTGGATTTTAAATAAACGTTCAAATTCTTAGACAAAATTATTTATTAACAACATTAATAGTATTATAAAAATATAAATTGAAATTAATTAAAACTGAAGTATATATTAAAATAAAAGTTATTTACAAAATATAAATAAATTAAATTATACCTAACTATTACTATTTGCTATGTGAATATATGATGAAAGTAAATTATTATAATCCCTGGGTTATGCCCATGATTATATAAAAGATTACTAAATTCCCTACAAAAGGAAAAAAAAAATCATCGAAATTGTACAATTTTTAGCAAAGATACAGCTTACTGAAATTTGGAAACATGTTGGTTTCAAACAAAAATGAAGATTTAAATGAATTTTTGTTTGCTTTGTGGATTATATTTATCGATAAAGTAACATTTGATGTCTTAATCCTTTGAAACATTGCATTTTTTTATTTTCTTATTAATTTTTCATTTGATAACTATATGCTGTGTGAATTTTTCGCACGGGCCTACTAGTTTACAAAAATTGCAATAGAGAAAAGTCAAGGATGGATTGTTTTTTCTTATTGGATTTTTAGGTTGTACTAACTTCAAAAGTAAATCTCGAATTTTAAGGGGAAAGTAAACTTGTTTCCAAGTAGATTAAAACGGCTTATTAATGAAACAAAAGAAAACCAAAACTTAATTTTTCCCTTTTTTTTTTTTTTGTAATATTTCTGATAAAAATAAATCTATTGAGAAGGTTGGAGAAAGAAAATTAAAACTAAAAAATGAGTTACAAAAACTCATTAATTAATATATAAGTTTAATTTAGAATAACAACTAAAAAATAAAATTATTGAAATTAGAAAGAAATATTTGGAAACTCTCCACAATCAAAATGATTCCCAAACCTTCAAAACCTATCACTTCTCGTTCATCTTATCGTCCTATAGCACTTCTTCCAATAATGGGCAAACTATTTGAAAAACTATTACTAAACCTTCTAAAGCCTATTCTAGAATATAGTGAAGTGATACCAAATCACCAGTTTGGCTTTCGCTGTTATCACTCTACTGTGCAACAGTGCCATCAATTCTTCTAGTAGATGCTGTCTCTGTGACTTTTGAAAAAAAGGAATATTGCTCTGCCGTCTTTCTCGACATAGAGAAAGTATTTGATAGTGTCTGGCACAAGGGCCTATTATGGAAATTAAAATCGCACTTGCCTTCCACTTATTTTTTAATTCTTCAATCCTACTTTCTTAATAGATTTTTCTGTATTTCCATATATTCTTCTGTTTCTTCCTTCTTTCCCCAACACAAAGGCGTAGCACAAGGTAGCGTCTTAAGCCCAATCCTCTATTCTGTATACACTTCTGATATCCCAGAGCACCCTAATACCACCATTTATTGCTTCGCTGACGACACTGCTATTCTAACTAAACACAAAAATCCTACTATCGCATCAATTGCCCTACAAAACCATCTTCATGATCTTGAAAAGTGGTTTGAAAACTGGAGAATCAAAATTAATAGTAAAAAATCCACCCTCGTTAGTTTCTCTCTTAGGAAAGCTTCATGTCCACCCATAACGATTGCCAATAATCCAGTGCCTTCAAAGAACTATGTACAGTACCTTGGACTCTACTTAGACAAGAGACTTACTTGGAACATACATGCAAAATTAAAAAGACAAGAACTTACTAGACGATATAGCCAACTTTCACATCTTCTAGACTACAGATCTTCACTTAACTTACGAAACAAGCGACTGATCTACAACACCTTACTGAGATCAATATGGACATATGGAGCAGAACTTTGGGGTTCAGCAAAACAAACACACATAAACAAAATACAAACAGCATAATCAAAAATTTTACGAAAAATTGTTAACGCACCTTGGTACATTTCAAATACTACTATACATAACGACTTAAACACCCCAACAGTAAAATCCTACATCCACGACAAATACACTGCATTTCATTCTTCAACCCAAAATCACTCCAATCTTCTGGTTCTTTCTATCTCCTGTTCCCTGTTACCTGAACAACACAGATTAAAAAGAAAATGGCCAAGAGACCTACTATTACGTTTTTATTTTTAATAAAATAAAAGAATACAAATGATTTAACTGTTTTTAATTTTTATTAATTTTACAATATATTGGAATGTTTTACTAATTGAAAAAAAATTAGACGATTATCATTTGATATCTATCTTGAACAAATACTACATGATAACTAGTACATACCTTGTGCCAACATTTCTACAAGTGGAATTAATGTATTTCTATTGGTGGAAGAGTATTTCTAGATGGTTCTAATCTTGCTGTGTTTTGGCAGGTGATAGTGGTAGGTGATAAATTTGTAGAGTTCTAAATCATTTATTTCCTATTGGTACATGTGTAGCAGTGACCTATAAAGGTTTTAACTTTTGTAATATTGACAATATTGAAAATCATAGTCCATGATATTATTTTAAAAATTATGCATAGAAATATTAGAAAGAAAATTACTCAAAACAAAAAATTAATAAGATTAAAATATAAATAAATTTATTATAATATTTTACAAATGTTAATATTTTGAAAGTACTTTTTATAAAAATAAATATTATAGCATTATTATTAAATTATTAGTTCATTATTTAAACATTCTATAACTAAGAAATGTAGATAAAATATCATCAGAGCTGAAAAATATACCATAACATAAATGCATCGCTCACTTCAACAGTCTAAGAAGAAACAGTAATTATTTAATTGAAAGAACTTGCTAACTGAAAGTAATAGTTTCATCTGAAAAATAGTTTTAGCTTCATACAACAGATGCCAGCACCATTCATAGCAACTGAAGAGGAAAGAAATATATCCATAAAAATTTCAATATTATTTTGGGCCACTCTTGGTATTTTTGAAACCATTAAGAAGACAAATTTTCTTTAATTAGTCAAAATTAACTGACAGTTATTATAACCATTAACAATGCCTAGCAGCTGTAGAGTTGAAGATTTAAAAAATAGAAAATATTTATTTTTAAAATTTTTTTTCTGAGATTGACATGTGCTAAATACTTAAACAATCACAATATTTTATATTTTCTACTTTATTCTAAATTATAAAGTCTGTACAGCATATAAATACAAATATGTGTCATGAAAAAAAATTATCACTAAAAGTATTATTGTGTCTGTAATCATAGTTTTCTAAAATTATTTATTAATTTTTATTTATTAGAACTTTGAAGACAATTTAAACATTGTTCTGACAGTTTCGTTCTTTTTCTTCAGAGTAATCACTATTATAATAAAAACAAATCATAATGTCACCAAAATTAAATTCTGTTTCCTCTACTGAGTAAAATCTTTACTTATTTAAGTATTTGATAGATCTATGCACTTTCAAATCTCTATACATTAAATATAAAGATGTATATGTATATAATTTTATATTTACATACACACCTATATAATGCACATTATATAACCTACTAATTACTATAACCCAGGAGCAAGGTCCTAAAAATGGTATTCATTACAGGGAAAGTTTGAATGCCAATTACGAAAGTGTATGCTATTCTAAGTAAAACGAGCCTTCCCATCCAGCATCAATATCATGGACTGACATTCGACAGAAGAATGACATGAGTCCACATATCAACAAAGAAAGAACAACGTTAAACCTCAGACTACGACTGTTATACTCACTTCTCTCAAGAGGTTCAAAATTAAACCTAAAACAAAAACTGAACACTTAGAATTGCTTACTTAAGCCCATATGGACCTGCGCTTCACAAATTTATGGAACAGCCAAAACGACCCACATACGAAAACTACAAAACTTTTCAGTC